TGCCGAAGGGTTGGGAATGAAAAGCAGCATGGGCTGGAGCATCCCCAGTGCCCCAGGTGGAAAGGGGTCCTCAGACAGGTGAGGCGGTCCAGGCGGGGTGAGTTTTGGGGGGACAAGGTGTAACTCACGGAGGCAGAGAGCGACGGCTGCCCACACCATGCTGCCTGTGCCGGGGCTTCGTCCTTGATGTGGGTCAGGTGAGCGCAGACGGGGAGTACGTCCGGCACCCCGGGATGGAGCTGGCTGCCCACGGGGCTGGGAATGATCCTGATTCCTTTGTCTGACGCTGCGGATGGATCCGTGGAGCGCAATGGGTCAGCGTGCCTGCACAAACCCCTGCAACCAAGGGAGAGACTAACTCCTATGGAACAGAATCCAGAATTAAACCACGTTAAACCACGACACCTTCTCTATCCGCTATTAACAAAAACTCCTCTTTGACACCCACAGCCCTGATCCCATCTGGACCCTACTGGGACAGGGTCCCCCCTCCCTCTCCTGGCTCTGCACGGGATCACACCGGCACAGACTGGGAGAAACCCAGTGCAACCCAGTGGAGGAGCACCAGTAGGCATTGCCCACCCCTGTACCCGATTACACACCCCTCAGCTAGAACCCCCCGATAGAAAATAACCCCCCTGGCTCTAGAAATGCCACCATCGGCTGTCCCCGGAGCAATTAGCTTATTGCCCTTCCGACGGGATGCGAGTCGTTTTTCCACGAAGACTCATCCTGTTCCCTAAATCCCATCGGTGGCCATGCCGAGTCGCTCTCCGGGGGGGAGGATTTGGCTCGGTGATGAGGATTCGGTGCCGCTCAGCCGGGGAAGGTGCTCACCCACCTGCAGCAGCCTGGGATGGGCAGCGCCGGGGACGGCTCAGCACTTATCTGCTGCGGGGTGGGGATGTTGCTCGGAAAACGGGGTGTGCCGGGGCCGTTTCTCAACAGTGTTTTGTAAAGCTGCTTTCTCTCCTGGTTTGGGGTTTTTTTTCCTCTTTCTAAAGGGTCACATTGAACTTTGGGGCAAATGAGTGGAATCCTGTGGTTTGGTGATTTCTGTGTTGATGGAGACAAAGGTTCTCCCAGTTAGTGAAAAGCCTTTGTGCTGTTCATGGGTGTATTTTACAGGGCAACCAGGGTGCAGAACAGATGAGTCCCCGGTGATGGACACAGCACTCTGCTCCCCTCACACCGTCCTTTTTGCCTTGGCCATGGACAATCCTGTTCCCCTTTTTACAGCTTTCTCCCTGAAATTTCTGATCCTGCTCTGAAAAGCCATCCAGCGCATGCCATGAAGGAGACCAAAAAGAAAGGAAGCAAAGCCTTTCCTAGGCTGCGTAGTGAAACCCTGGGGAAACCGGATGATGTGCAGCAGCAAACACATTTTATCCTGGGAAAAAGGAAGGGCAGGAGCAGTTGGTAGTGGTCAGCTGAGCGGCTGTCCCAGCTGCTCAGACAGGTTTGGGGGCATCAGCCTTCGCAAAGGGTCCCCGGACCCTCCAGGCAGCACTGAGCAGGGTTTGCCATCCCCCAGCACCCTGGTCGGTGTCCCCATCCCCGTCCCCCACCGAGCAACCGGTCCTGCAGCACCGGGGCTTGGTCAACACCCGCAGGAGTTTCTGGTTTCTATTCTGAAAGGATTTGAGGTAAAAATAGCTCTTGTTGGAGTGGTGAAATTACAGAAACTTGTTTGCTATGAGGCTGCTGGTGGGGCACAGCCCCTGCCGTGGGCTTGCCGGCCAGGGGTGGCTGGAGCAGGAGGGCAGAGGGACGTCGGGGCCCCTTTACTGGTCACTGTGTCTATGTCCCTGTGGAGCTTAAAACCGACCCCAGGTGCAGGCACAGGAGCATCCACCCCAAGCTTGAATGTGCTGAAACACCTGCTGATGCTGAAGCATCTGCCGAAGCCCCTTCCCCCAGGGGGGAGGCGGTTGTGGGCACCGCTGCTGCCAAAGCCAGGGAAGCTCTGACTGCATCTCCCCACACTGGGTGGGCTGGAAACGCTCCCTCCTCAACCAGCCGCTTCTCTGTCCTCAACCCATTTATAACCTTAAAAATCTGAAAGCTGCAAATAATTCCCTTAAGTCTTCACTCTTCCAGCTGCTCCAACCCAAGGAATGACCACTGAGGTTATCAGCCGTGGTGGCAGCTTTCCCTGTGCATCTCCTAAACACCGGCAGCCCCGGGACTTCTCCCCCATTTCCCTGCCTGGGAGAGCTGCGATGTTTCGAAATCAGGAGTTTCTCTTCCACCTCTGCTTTTTGGTCTGGGATGGAGGGGGCAGCGGGCAGGGGTGGGCAGGGGAAGGGCTGGGGCAGTGGCATCTGCCTCAGCCACCTCAGGCATCCTCGGTCACCTGTGCCACGGTTACTAAATCTTGCGAGGGCAGATGATCCCGGTGGTTTCGGCCAGGGGCATTTGAGCAGGGCGAGGGTGAGCGCGGGTGCTCACGCAACAGGTTGGCTGAGTTGGAGCCCTGGGACTGGTCCTGCTGTGCCGGTCCGGGCTCATTCCTGGAAGCCCCCGGCACCAGCCACGCTGCAGAACGCCCCATCCTGTGCAGCGCGGCGTGGATTGAGAGACCAGAGGGTGAAGTGCAGGGTGCACAGGTAATGGTTTACTACGGTCATGTGCAACAAGAAGTACTGCGAGCTGTACAGAACGTCACGACACACACCAGATCACAACCCCCCGGTCCGAACGCAGGAGTGGATTCACACACGGCGCAGCAACTGGCAGTCGGCGGACAGGAGGGAGCAGGACTGCATGCGGTGCGTGAGAGGAGCTGGAGAAGGGCGCTTGGAAATCACCTCTCCGCAGGGTAAGGAAAACCTGGATTTATCTCTGGTTGCTGCAGCATCAGGTAAAAGTGCAACGCACGACGGATGACGGGTAGCACAGGGCCCAGGGGCTCAGCACAGATGGTGGGGTGTGTGGTGGGTGCCAGCCCCCCAGCCGTGCCAGTCCATCACCGTCGCCTTGTATGCGGCCACGGTGTGCCCCATGTGCCACCTCAAGTGACCGCCGACCCTGTGGCTGGGGCAGCCTTGTCCCCAGGGACGTGTCCTCATTCCCATGCCAGGGCCCATGGGGACGGGGAGGGAAGGCTGCGCCCCCTCTCCGATGCTCCACATCTCACCCGGCGCTTTTCAGGGCCTCCTGTGCACGTCACCCATGTTCAGTCTTTGGCAAACAGGTTCATGGCGTTAATTTACAGCTTCGGGACCCACCTGCGGCTGCCTCTCCCCTCTCCCCTCCCCGGCCGCTCCCGGGAGATGGGATGGGCCTGGGAGGAAGGAGACTGATCTTCAGCTCCTCCAAAGCCCCTGAGCCCTCTGTCACCAGCTCATGAACTCGCCGTCCCCTGGGTTGGGTCCTGCAGAGCCACACACTCTGCTACCGTCCCCATCCGGCAGCGGGTGACAGACTGATCTTCTGCTCCTCCAAAGCCCCTGAGCCCTCTGTCACCAGCTCATGAACTCGCCGTCCCCTGGGCTGGGTCCTGCAGAGCCACACACCCTGCTCCCGTCCCCATCCGACAGCGGGTGACAACAGTTTGTGCCAAGCCACGGAAGCATGGTGACGGCCACCTCGTCCCCGGCCATTGGGTCCTGCAGAGCCACACACTCTGCTCCCGTCCCCATCCGGCAGCGGGTGACAGCAGTTTGTGCCAAGCCACGGAAGCGCGGTGACGGCCACCTCGTCCCCGGCCACGTGCCGCAGCGCGGTGAGCTTTCACCCACCAGCACCCAGGGATGCCAGGGATGGGCGATACAAAACCCTGCAGGGTTTTGGGGGCCTACAAGGAGAGAGCCGCGATGTTTTATATCCCCCCAGGGTGGGAATACAAGTTACACGAAAACACTGTCGGGTGCATTTCAAAAAGGACAGGGCTTGGGGGTGACAATGACCCTGGGCACATGCTGATGGGGTGGCTCAGTGCCGAATACTGCGGGAGTAAGGGGCTCCAGCCCCCCCGTCCCTCCCTGCCCCAAGCCAGCTGCCCTGATCTCTTCATTTGCCAAATGTCCTCTACAGGCTGCCGAGGCCAAGCGGGGTGGGATGGAGAGCGCGACGCGGCACTATCCTGGCTGGAAGCAAGGGCATTTCCAGAGAAAGTGGGTGCTAGGTAAAGGCAATGCTGGGAGAAAGAATAAGAAGATTAAAAAAAGCTTTGGGCTGCTGGCTATTCTGACCAGAGCAGTACTAAAAATACACGTATTTCCAAGACCACCCGTATTTCAGAACCGCTAAAAGACTAGATTCTTCTCATAGAAATTGGAAAAAAAGTTTAAAATCCATTCGTATCAACTCACCTTCAACAAACCTTTAAAAAAACCACGCGTGGGCTGAGGCAGGAAGGAAAGCGCGAGGGCAGGGATGGGCAGGCAGCATGGCCTCGGGCAAGCAGGGACCCCTCCTGCGCCCTCACACAGCCCAGCCCCGCAGGCAAAACACCCGGGGCTGTCCCGGGACGACTCTGGGATGCACTTCAGCCTCCTCATCTCCCACCTCCCAGACAGAGCGTGCACCAGTGAGCCTGGAGTGAAGGGAATGGGGAACATGGACACCCAAGCTGCATCCCCCCTGTTCTCCTCTCCCTTTGCTGGGCTGTGCTTTAGCATCCTAGCACTGCGGGTTTGCAGCTATGTCCATCACGCTCGTGGCAAAGGCAGCATCCGCGCTGCCCCAGCTGTGCCTGAGCCCTGGGACAGGGACGTAAAGCTCTGGGGTCACTCGAAGCTGGTACGTGACACACTGACTCTGCTGCTGAGGCCCAGAATTAGGAAAGGGGCATCCAGTGGTCAGATGGATGATGTGTATGTTAAAAGAATAAACCCATCCTAATCGCTGCTAAGATCTGTCTAATCCCAGCCCCAGAAGTGAGGGAAGCCACAGCGTACAGGAAGTGCAGATGTGGAGTCAGCGCTGGGTTCTGTGGAGACCCACTGGGACGAAAACAGAGCATTGGGCTGGAAATGCAGTGGTGCGGTTTGTGCTCACTCTAAAGCCCACTCGGCCAACCACTGCTCGCACCGGGCTCGCTGCTCCTCCGTCTCCGGGCTCTTGGCTTCGCTCCGTGGCTCCTCTCCTCCGCCAGCAAGCATGGCTTCCTGGCTCGTCTCCTCTTCCCCCTTCTGCACCACCTTGTCCTTCAGCTCTTGGATCGTCTCATCCAGCCGGTGGGTGACGTGGTGGGGCACCCAGTTGCTGTCCATTGTGGTGACGAAGGGGTCGGGCGCGCAGACCTCGATCAGCTCCTTGCCGGTGGGGATGCGCAGGTAGTAGGCGTGGAGCATCATCCGATAGGGACTGCTGTCCTTCTTGTGGCTGTAGGTGAAGTCCCCCACGACGGGGTGGCCAATGGCACTGCAGTGAACCCGGAGCTGATGCGTCCGCCCTATGGGGAGAGTGGAAGTGGGGGAATCAGGGACACAGGTTATCCCTGAATCCCTCCGTGAAGGCACAGCGGCGCAAGGTGATAACCCACCAAATGGCATTTGTCCCCCCAGTTTGAGAGCTGGAGTCTTTTGCGAGCTGAGCGTGGCTCTCAGCTCCGCTCAGCCCTTTCTAGGCTTTGTGTCGTACCACGGCACCGTGCTGCTGGTCGTCTGTCCAGCCCCCGCAGCCCCCGTGCCCAGCCCCGAGCTCCCACCTGTCAGCGGCTGCAGCAGCACTTTGGTCACAGGCTCTCCGCTGTAGGACCCGTGCTCGAGCACGATCAGCTCCGACTGGCAAGGTTTGGGATTTTCACAGCCTGCAACGAGATCCGCAGGGGGGTCAGCTCCCCCGCAGCGTGGCCCAGCTGATGTGGGCAGCACAGGCAGGGCGCGGGAGCCGCTCACCCTCCGTCCCATCGATGCACATCATGTGGGTCATGCCCTCGGTGGTGTTCTTCCCTATGGCGTAGCGGATC